CCCTCTGGGGGGGGGGGGGTTGTACTCATGTTTCGCATGTCTTAGCGGGTAGACCACGCGCCCTCGAGAGGACGGAGCCACTCATGTTTTGCATACCGTAGTTGTTAGACCGTTGACCATGGGCGAAAGCACGCAACAACACCGTGTGCTCCGACCATGATTTAGCGTGCTACGACGCGTGTTTGCTTGAGCGCCTGTTTGGGTGTGGTGCTTTTCTTGCTCCCTCGCAGAGCAGTGTGCGAAAGAGAGGAGGGGACGAGATGTGTAGTGTTGACCGCGGTAGCTTGTCTACCGTAGGCCACCCAGCGACCGCTATGTACAGCGGTAGAGATCGCGGGGAACAGATTGGGACGCATCGACACAACAAGAGACAAGAGCCAAAGGGCTACTTGCCAACGGAGTCCGCGTGCACAGGCATGCTTCACAAGGGCCACAAAAGAGAACGCCAGGAGGAGGGTTTTGGTGCACAACCACGTACAATTTCTTCCGCGGTCCGGTAAAAACCCGGCGTGCTCCGTCCCGGCTTTGTAGGGACGCGAGATCAATGGTCTAACGACCACGGCATGATTGGTTATAAGCACACCCCCCCCACCCAGATTGGCCATCGGTGATCGGTCCTGCGGGGACAATGCTCCGTCATCTCGAGAGGGCGCGTGGGCAATGGTCTAACCGCTGAGGCATGCAAAATGTAGGAGTACGTTCCCCCCCCAGACCGGTCGATGCCTATTCCCTTGGGCCGAATCCTACCCCGGTCGGCGCGCTATTCAGCTCACCACTGATATGGCGAAGCTCCTGTCCTCTCGAGAAGCCACCAGCACGAAACCGTTATCGCAGCCCCGTTTCCCCACCCTCCAGCTATCCTGCACGCCTCGCGCAAACCCCTCCGCCGTCACCTCTTCGTCTCCACCAACTACACCGCCCCCCTTCCTAAGAACGTTGATCCCGACTCCTCCTCCTCCTTCCTCCCCTCCTCCCGGGGGAGACGCGAGCATGCGCGATACGACCGCCACCCCGCCCTCGATGTCCCCCAGCTGCTGCTGCTGTTCGTCTCCTTCGATGGCCTTCCCACAGGGGGTCTGCAGACTGGAGATCTTTTTCAGCTCCTCCTCCGCTCTGAGAAAGAGGCGGGTTTAGTCGTGGCGCGAGCAGCACAAGCAGAGGTACGCGGGGCGAATCAAAACACACGCGGGAGACAGTTATCCCCTTTGCGTAAGGACTCGACCTGGAGCTGTGCCTATCTTTACAGCATAGAGGAATAAATTTTCAGTCGGGGAGGCCGAACAAGAAATATCTATTTCCGCGGCACAAAGTTCGTGACGATAAGCGGGAAACCGGGTTCATCGGGGCAGTTGTGCTACCGCTGCTCACCCTACACGCTCTTAAATCCACGAAGTTCAGCAGCACCAAGTTGTTGCAATATCATATTTTACCCCATGGTATGTACATATGCAAAGCCCGGGAGGCGCAGAAGACGTGAGCGCCTCTCGAGACAACCACCACCACAAGCGGAAACACGCCAAGCACAAAGGCGAAACACGCCAGATTCATACACGCCAGACCCAGAGGCGAAACACGCCAGATACATACCGTATATGACACAAGATAACACACCCCCTTGGCCGATTTTCAAAGCTCGATTTCTCAACAGCAGGAAGAGTCACAGCGCCGAAAACGGCGGCGTTGGAACCGTCTCGTCGAGAGCTGTTCGAAAACGTATTTGTTTCATTTATGCATCCTCTTCGTCGTGGAGTAATCGAGCTTTGAAAATCGGTCCAGGGGGTGTGTTATCTTGTGTCATATACGGTAAGCGAAGCTTACGAACAGCAACGACGATGCTTGCTGACTGACCTCCGCGCCCCAGATACATTGGTGAAACACGTCCGATGCATTGGCCAAACACGCCAGACACAGAGGCGAAACAAGGCAGATACATGATAGGCGAAACGCGCCAGATACATTGGCGAAGCGGACGAAAACAAAGTAGTAATGCCTGCTGGCTTGCCTCTGTGCCCCGGCCGTTGTCAGCAGGCCATCCGGATCACACAGGTAGGACCCGTCGCGTAGCCTCTCCCTCGGATGGCCGCAGCCCACGGGGTCAAGTGTAGGAGACGGCAACAGGTCTACCGACCAGCCGGTGCTGCTGCTGACGGTGGCGCTTGTTGTCCCGCCGCCCTCATGATCTGGTCGAATGGTGGGGTAGGTCCGGTAGGCACAGAACCGTTGTCATCGTTGTCGCGAGGTAGCGAAGGCAGGGAGCGGGCCACTCTCTCTCGAGGAGAAGAAAACTTGATTTGAAAGTGATGTTGAGTGATGGAATGCATACCTGCTTCTCGAAGAGCTGTTAAAACTACCGTCTAAATAGTGGGCATTAGTCTTTTCTGGCAAACTGCCCTCCCTGAGCATTTCATCACATGGACGTTGACCCCTACGCGCGGCCATAAGTTCGTACGACACGTGAGTGGCGAGGAACCATGCGTGTCTTGCATGTGCTCCTACCTTCCTCGTTCACACAATGCGACTACAACAAAGCAAACCTGGCAAGGTACGAGTGGTCGCACACACCCTACCCCGGCTTTCAACCCTCGATCTTTCCAACACTACCTACGCGTACCCATTTCGGCATTGACGTCCTGTTGGCTGTGGAGGAATCAAGCTACTGCTGGATGAAAATCTGTCGAATGGTGGGTTGACTGCCACGGGGATGACTCAAACTTGTTATGCATATGTATGCATACAGCCTTTAAAAGATCAAGACACCCAGGTTACCAACGACTTCTAGACAGCAGTATACGCGTGTAGCTCAGTCGAGGAGACCAGCAAGTACGAATTCTGTTGGTCTCTCTTTGGGCTTGGTAGAAAACCCAATCTCTTTCTCTTTCTCTCTCTGGCATCGCTCTTCAAGATGATCTGACGGCGACATCTCTGAGAGCAACCACAAATTCTCAATGAGCAAATGTGGAGAGATGTACGTGCAGCAGCAGCATCGTCCAGGGTACTTCGTGGATGAGACGACAAGTGGCACTACGATGCGCCAGCTACAGCGTGCCAGCTACCACATCTCTTGATGGAGCAAAAGGTATGCGTCGGAATGTGAAAATGGGCACGGGATGCGGAGTAGAAACAACGACAGCCACGGGCCATGTGATCGTGATCAACGTATAGGGTGGAGGGTTTGGTTGGTGCTACAGACTCCAAACGAGAGAGTGAATCCACTCCCTGTCGCTGCTCTCGTGAGAGCCTCCTTGCTGTACGTACACGTACAAAGAGTTCGCGTATTGTAGCAGTCGAGGTAATGTGTGAAAGGTCGTCCGCCCTGGGCTAAGTTAAGTCATCAACACAAGCCTGTTCTACGTGCATAGTGTGCTAGGGCTGCTCTTCTTTACATGTGTTGAGTACGTGCCCTGTGGTGGAGCGCCAACAGCAGCAGCGTTGACGACAGCCGAAACTCTCCTGTTTTGAACAAGAAAGATCAAGTACGTGTCGCCTATCAGCTGCCGTTTGTGTGCGTAAAGCAGAAAGGGATCCTCTACATTATTCTTGAGACGAAAGGTCACCGCCACCTGCAAACTAATCCCACACCCAAGGCGAGATAGTGGCTATGGTGGAGTCGCTCAGGTTGAATAAGCGTGTCATGTAAGCATCGCTGTTGTGCTGTACACTGCTGCTGTACAGCAGAGCAGGGCAGCTAAATTGCTTTGCGACTGCTATTTAGGCCGCGGCGAAACAAACACTAATTAGACATACCTCCGTGGTGTCCAACCGCTACAGCGGACGATGCCAACAGCAGCACTCCAACGGAACACAGGGCTAGAACACGGCAGCAGTCTTGCCGGCCCACGGCCATCATCCACTGCTCTCTCTCTCTCTCTCTCTCTCTCTCTCTCTCTCTGCGCTGTCGTCGAGCTTTGGAGTTCGCAGAGCAGAGCATCCCGCAAACAGGAGGCTTTCCATATGCGATGCCCCTGACACCCTATCCGATTCCACGGAGCCCCAGGATTTGGCCGTTGACCGAATTGACCTTTGCCGGACACCCTGAGGCACCACAAGAACGCTGGCTTCCGCTCTTGCGTGTGGATGAGAGAGCAACCAGAGAGCCAGACGCACGTTCGGGAGGGTTTTAGGAAGAGATCCTCTCAGATCAGCGGCCTTGCCCTCCTCTCTGCTTGAGAAAAGAGACGGGGAGAGGATAAAGCTGAGCTGACGAAAAAAAAGCGGGAGAAACGGACCGACTGTTCCGGAGGAGGTGAACTACACCGATGAGCGCGCTGGACGTGAGAAATGGGAGGGTGGATATCGAGGTGCCAACGGACGAGGACGCGAAGCATTGCGCTCGCGTGTTGAAGGATCAGCACTCCAGCCTGAAGTCCATCGATCTCAGGAGGGGTCTCGTCACGAGCGCGGGGGCCGGCGCTCTCGCCAAGGCACTCAAAGGTGGGTGAAGAGCTCATGTTTGGCGGGTTGGGGAGCCGGCCTTTGGCCAGATCGGATGGTGTGTACGCAGAGGGTCGACAGGATGCACCGGTGGCGTGATTATATCTGGGTTCCTTCTAGTGCTGTAGCAGCCCCCAGGCGGCCTACTTGGCTCGCCGTTCGTCTCTCACGCTCCGAACAGCTATGATCTTGGGAGCATTGATTTCTCCTCTCCTCTCTTGGCTGTCGCATCAAAGAGGAAACTCAACTCAACGAGAGAGAACACCCAATTCACGCGGGATCGAGGGATGCGCACAACAACGGCCGATTAGGTTGTCATCAAATTGGCCTCCTTTTATTCGTTGCCATCCCTTTCGCTGACAATCCGTGAGGATCCTCAGGCTACAGCACGTTGAACGATGTTCGCCGGGAAAACAAACGAACGAACGCATTGCACATGCACTTGTGTTCTGTATAATACCAGGTGCAGATGGTACAGCATACTATCTCGAGTCTGTCCGTCCCCTGCATCTAGGCAACCGCGTGGTAGCAGTTTCGACGACATACCACATAACTAGTCTCCAGGGCAGCACAAGCATATCCTCCCTTGCTGCCTCCCTACAGCTGTAGCAGGGCAGAAACTAGTTGCTGGTGTTTCACAAGAGCGTCGGGCGTTGGAGCAATCAGCATCAAGTATCCAGAGGCGACTCTCAAGGGCCGCGGCCCACCCACACACGTGTAACCTCCCCAGACGTGATACCACCACCCCCACCAGTTTCATGCCACCACATAGAATCGACTTTCAGGATTGGTGATCCACACACACCCGCATAACTTTCCCGGGCAGCCCCTCCAATTTCTCTTAAAAGTATACTATGTATTCGCGGGGGCGTGCTCTCGCAGGGCACCTATCTCGGCCGTCGTGACTAAGGCCGCCCTCAAGCCACTATCTACATCGTTTGACCACCGTCTACACCACCACATTTCCTTGTAAATCGAACGGAGGTCGGCTTGGGCGGGGGTATCCCGTCGGCATCGGCTTGCATGCAGGGCGAGGTGTATCAGACGAAAGCGGACTTAATAGTACAAGTGGTTTACTGGCCCTATTTCTGTCGAAACCGCACCGGCCTGTGATGTGATACTACGGAGCGCCCGGAACGACGGCGAAACCCCCGGGTACACGCCAGCGCTGTTTTTTTTTTGGCTTGCACTCGCCAGTTCAACGGCAGTTTTTGGGCTGTGGTTGGAGGTAGACACGAAACCAACGCCACTGGCATATTTCCAGCCCTCAGGCTACACCACCGGGCTAGCCCTCGCTAGGCCTAACCCACGCCTAAACCTTATCCCAAACTCTAACCCACACCCCAAGCTACTAATTATACCATTAATAGGGTGTTGTGCAGTGGGTAAGGTCGCTGTCGTCCGTCAGTTGGATCCGAGGTTAGATGGGAAACACAACGTGCATTTCTCGTGATCCGCTGGAATGTACCCCGCTACCTGCACCCCCCGATTCCATTTCCAGTGTCCGGTGCTGCTTGACGTCCCTGCTATGTATGCGAAACGCTACGATGCATCGCGCTTGATCCACTGAAAATCGAAAAATAGAACGTCACCAGCACGCCTTCGATTCCTGTGCATTGTGTCCGGTTGCTGCTTGCTGTATGTTACACGCATCTTTCTGATCCGCTGAAATCGGAAAATGTGAACACACACGGCCACCAGCGCGCCTCCGATTCCTTTTGTACACATGTTCTACGTTCCCGCGTCCGGTGCTTCTTGCTGTCCCTGCGATATGCGAAACTCTAGTTCGCGTGCATCTCTCGGTATCCGCTGAAATCTCAAAATACACCCCGCCACGTCCGATCCCTGTACACGTATCCTTACTTTACTCAGGCAACTCAAGTCTGCGACACCTGGGCCTGCCGGGCAACAGCATCGGAGACGTCGGTGTTGGTGCCATAGGGCGGGCGTTGGAAGGAAACCTGGGGTGCGTCCTGGCTTCGGTAGACCTATCCGCCACGGGCATCACGGTGGTGGGGCTGTCTAACCTCGTGCAAGGGGTGTCCAGGCTGCCGAACCTGCACACGGTCTGCCTCAACGACAACAACCTTGCGCAAGAGGGTGAGCTTCTTCTTTTTTTATTTTCTGTCATGGTTTTCTTTATTCGAGAATGACGCATGCGAGACTCGGTCGTGCGAGATGTTGACTTGCTGGCTGTTTCGCGGAGAGAGACGGGGCTGCGTTGAGGGGGACGATGGTCGATCAGCCAGCGCCTTCGGCTGCCGTTGTAGAACCAGCAGCAGCAGACGCCGAAGCTAGTAGCGTGGCGGTACTTCACACACCGCTCTCGACCTCGAGCTTTCCGAACCAATCCGCCTGCGGTAATAACATTTGTTGTTGCGACAGCATGCCCGGCCGTAGTCAGCGTGTCGACCAGCATCCGGCGGGAGGCGAGTCAGGTACAACCGCTGTGCAAACGAGCGTATATCAACCGTTAACTCACGTTTTGTTTGTGTCCCTTGTGTGTCCCTTCCTTCACGGCCCTGGTAAAACGGGGCAATAGCCGGGCTTCAGCTGTCGAACCTCCTCAAGGCAAGCGCGTCGCTGCACACGGTGCTGGCCGGCGGGAACTATCTGGGGGACCGGGGGCTGGCGGCGCTGTGCGGGGCTTTCTGCTACCTCAAACCGGCGAGGGTTCTCAGCCTGGACGTCAGCGGGAATGGTACGCAGAAAAAAACGACAATCTGCAGAACTGCTGCTTTCGTTTCAACGGTTTTCCCACCTATTTTCAACACCTTTGGCCTTCCGTAATGGAGGTGGTCCATTGGTGAGACACACGCATGTTAATCTGAATAAACAGGGAAGACTCCTCCCGTTATGGGTGGCGACAATCTGCACCATGTGTTGGAGCCGAATGTGGTCCATAACACCAATGTCCAGTCGTTCGTGTTACTTGAAACACAGGACATTTCGGACGGTGGCCGTCGACGGCAATGCGTGCTCTGTTGGCGTTGTTCTGTGTGGCAGACTACGGGAAGCCACAGGCCGCTTTACGTGCCTACCACAGCAGTATCGGCTACGATTTATGAGAGTGAACAGTACGGATTCAACATCGCTCGTTCCAGCCACGAGATAAGACATACTCCATATATTCCAAGCACGGCGGTATAAAAAAAAACCGCGTTTAAGACAGCAGTGCATTTGACTTGTCCCGATCCTCTCTTAGTACTGTAGCCGCTACTGCATCGTCTACCACGTCACCCTGTGAGAATGCATCCGCTTCTAGGTGAATCGCCTCGAGCGATAAATCCTGCTTCTTCCACGGCGTGTGTGTGGAGGCATGCGCGTGCATGCGCGTGTGCACGGGAAGACACCCGAAATATTTCCAGTGGCACTACTCGTGTCGAACATTTTGTTTACCTTGAGAAACGACCATTTTGTTTACCCTGTAAACAAGAGGGTTATTGGCTTTGCCGTATTTTTTGTGGTGGCAACTATTGCTGGAAATCGTGCGTTATGCCCATACTCTCCCGCCTTCCTTATCCTGACTCTCTAGCCTCCCAGCCAGAGTACAACAAAACGTCATGTTTTAGCACTATTGTATTGTTCACACTCTCGGTGTTTACTCTTGCGTGAGCTCAAAACGACCGCCGCCGCCTCCCAGGTATCGGAGACCTTGGCGCCCAGTGGCTCTGCAAGGGCATCTCCGCCCTGTGCCGCAACCAACAAGACGCGGCCGGCAGCGGCAGCGGCATCCGCGACCTGCGCCTCCGAGGTAACAACATCACCCACACCGGCGCGAAAGAGCTCGCCACCATCCTCTCCGAGGGCCGTTGCGCGCGCGACCTGCGCGAGCTCGACCTGTCGATGAACACAATCACCGCGGATGGCTTCCGCCCCCTCGCCGTCTCGCTCCGCGGGTGCCGGGAGCTCGTCCGGCTGGACGTGGCCGGCTGCCGACTCGGCCCCGGAGGTGTGGACGCCGTCGCCGACCTCATCGCCGCCTCGGGGCCGAAGCTCACCGCCGTTGTCCTGACGCCCAAGGCGGAGTTCGCGGACCGGGTGCTGGGGGACCGGGGGGGGCTCGCGGTTGCGCTGCGGCAGTCCCTCCAGCGACTGGCGGACTCGCTCCCGTTCGCCGGCAGCGTGGTGGAGGTAGGGCTCGGCGCCTTCCTCCGTGCGGACCCCGCCGCCGCGGCCAGCATCGAGGAGACCTTGCACGAGCGCCGGGAGCAGCAGCGGCAGCAACAACAGCAGCAGCAGCAGCAGCAAGCGCGGGAAGCACAATCGTCGGGGCGTAGCGCGGGAGAGGGGAGCAAACGAGGCACTGCTGCGGCGGTGGCGGCGGCGGCGGGGCCTTCGAGATCGAACGAAAAGTCGCGGGCCGCCAACAGGACGGGCGGCGGGGGCGGGGGGGGGGGTCGGAAGAGGGCCGAAGGGCCGCAGGCGTCGCCTGCCGCGGGGGGGCGGCGGGCTGGAGGGGGCACTGCCCCGCGCTCCGCCGGCGGCGGCGGCGGGATTTCGACTACCCCGAAGACGTCCAACCGGTCCAACAACAACCCGGGAGGCCGCTCGCGTCAGCAGCAGGGCATCGGCAAGAGCGGGGCGCGCGGGACGGGGATCGAGCGGCCGAAAGCTGGCCTGGAGCGGCAGAAGGCGGCGGGTGGAACGGCGGAGCGGCAGCGGAGAGGAGCGGGGGGTCCGCGACCTTCTCCGCCATCTGGAGGAGGGGTTGGGACAACCGCGTCGTCCTCGGGACCCGGTGGCCTTCAACGGACGTCGAGCAAGGCGTCCATGCGAGGAGGCGGGGGAACCGCGGGAAAACCTGAAACGGGACAACCGAGACAGCCGGTGGTGGCGGGTCAGCATCACAAGACGACGACGGCGACGCTTGCCGCTCGCGACCGCGCCGCCGTCGATGCCCACGCCGCCCCCCACAGGCGCTTGCACCAGGGGGAGGAGCTGGACTCGATCGAAGGGTTCACGGAGCAACGGCAAGCTCCGAAGTTGATGCCGCCAACCCGGGAGTTGCTGGCGAGCCAGGCGGCCGCGGCGGTATTAGCAGCCGGTGGTGGTGGCAACACGGGCTTTTACGGTGACGGCGGTAGCGGGGGTAAGAAGGCGGCGGGACCAGGGCCCTCGGCAGGCTTGGAGGCCTCCGCCAGCGGGGGTGTCGTAGAATCAATCGCGGATGTGGTGTCCAAGGTGATGGGAGACACTGCGGCCGTGGCGGACGGTCTGGTAACGCCTCCTCCCGTGGCGCCTTCGACGTGGGATTGGGACACGAATAGTGGTGGCCCTGCTGGATCTGCGGCGACGGGGAAGAAGGAGGAGAACGATGCCGACGACTCCCCTGCTACTACCGCCAGCGGTGCTTCTACGATGGTCCCGTCTTCGGTTGGGCCGGTGTCGACGGCGCAGCAAGGGGGCGGCGGGGCCAAGGCGGTGGCGCTGTCGCGGAAATCGTCGGCCGCGAGCTTCTCTACCGCGCCCGAGTCGAGCTGTGAGTGTCGTGTGTCGCAGACGGTGTGTGGCGTGAGAATATGGGGGAAGGAATTTCGGGGTTGTGCCGATTGTGAACTAAGCGCTGCGAAAATGTTCGACCAGTCGCTCCCAGTTCATGCAATTCCTGAGATACCGTTGTGTGCTTGTGGCCCGCGATTTGGAAGGCTCTTGAAGTTGATGTATTTTTCTCCAGATAATTCTTCTACATACCCTCTCTGTACCAGCGCCAACATGCTGCCGAATTTGACATGTTTGACTGAAAAGTCGCGGCGTGACTTGAGTTCCTCCCTGTGTTTCGATGAGAGTGTGAATTAATAGGCTTGGCTGGCCGCGTTTGCGCTCTTCTCGATGTCAACCTTACGAATCCGTGCGAACCTCAGCGGAGCCAGAGGTGGCGGCGGGGATGACGTCTCTAGCGCTGAGCGACGGCAGCAGATCAGGGTTGAACTCGAGCTCTCAGGGTACTACGGCGATTGAAGTCAGGTATGTCTTGTGCGTTTGTGTTGTTTGCCGGTTGACTGCTGTGGCAGCGGCATATCTGCGCCGCCCAGGCCGTGGTGTCTCGTTTGTTGGAAGCCTATCCCGTCGACGTATGTGTATGCTTTTTTGTGGCGAAACCGTTTCTCCGTGTTTCAGCTAAAATCGAGTCGTAGGAATTGTCTCTTTCCAGCGAGCGGCAAACGTTGGCGCTTGTGGTTGTCTTGACGATGCGGCTACAGAAAAAAACAGCACGTGTACTATGTGGGAGTCGTGCATGGTCGCGCAAGCGCTCTCGTGTGCTTGGGAAACCCCACCCAACGGCTTTGTGTTGTATACTTCGTAGTATAGGTACTGGTTACTCCCATGCAGCATTTTCTAGACGCGGGTAGGTAAGTGCCTTGTCGCGTGACTCTCTCGCACTTACGGGGCCCCTTTTCTTTCTTGGGGCATCCAGATGAGAGCTTGAACTGACGTCTGCTACCGAATCCAACGGCTTGGGGTTAGAGAGAGAATGAGAGAGAGAGAGAGAGAGAGAGAGAGAGAGAGAGAGAGAGAGAGAGAGAGAGGGAGAGGGAGAGGGAGAGGGAGGGGGGGCGACACAGAGATAGAGACAGAGGCAGAGAGAGAGACAAAGACAGAGGCACGCAGAGAGACAGACTGAGAGGGAGAAAGAGCCTGTTTTGAGCCCGAGACCTAACCTTCGTCGGTTGCCGTTGATGCGCATTGTTTTTCCCGGTCACACTTGGAAACGAAGCAGCTCTGGCGGGGGCGGCGGTAGCCAGCAGCAGCTGGTTACTGTGGAAGACGCGAGTCGGATGCTCGCTCCTCTCGTCGCCCAAGAGGTGGAAAAGGAGACAAAAAAGATTGAGATCAGGATGCAGGTGCGTGTGCGTGTGCTTGTTTCACCGCATCGACCGGGCTCTCACTGGCTGACCAATGAAACGACGCCGGTCTCAGTGCGGGTGAAAACGGAAAATGCGGTGGTTGGTTGCTGTTTGTTGTCGGCTGTGCCCTTGCAGAGAGGCGCGTGCCTTCTTCCGTCGTGTGCGCCGCTGCGAAACGCGTACGGTTAGCGCTATTAAAGCACTTGGGAGCTTGGCAGGTAAGAAATTGATATGATATAGCTTCGAAAAACTCAAAATCTAGGAATTTGAGCGCCATTTATGAGCTCGGTTGAGAACCTACACTAAAATCTATATAAATTTGTAGCGGCCATTCGCAGCATGACCCTAGCAAGTACAGCAGGAACCCCACCCTCGGCCAACAAAAGAGGTTTTGAACCGCGGGCGCTTGCCGTAGTTTGTTTTGCACAAGGTTAGGTAGAAGCTCACACGGTAGTCCCGGCATCGTGAGTTCGTTGCCGTTCCCTTACCGTCGTCCCCCCACTTCGCTCATGAGTTTCCTCCCTAAACAGATTCCTTGCAGCAAGAAAATGTCCTTGAGATAATACCTCCTCTGCGTTGTTGCGTTTGCATTCTGCGGGGCGCCATGCCTCTCAAGTCTATTCAGTAGCTTCCTCTTGAAAGCGGGGACTGCAGTGCTGCTTTGATGGTTTCTGTGAGGCAGAAGGATGTCTTTTTCGGTCGCAAGGCAAACGTGTTTTGAGCGGGATGTGAGATCGGAACTTTCGAAGATCCTGCTTTTGAGAGCAGCGGTTGTTGTCTGGCGTTGACCTGCCAGCACGAAACGCCAACGCACCTACAGCAGTGGATCTCCGGTTGAGGACACACATGATTTTTCGTAAATGCAGGTGCCCTTAAGTCGGGGACGTGTCCTTAGGAATTACTTCCCTCCTTATTTTGTGCATTCGGCGGGGCACCATGCCTGTGGGAGAAAAGTTGTCCTTATCCGGGGGAACGTCCTTCGAAATTGGTGTCCCTAACCGAGGGACAACCGTACTCTTAAAACGAAAATGCAAGCTGTGGTTACGACCCCAATAGCAAACCCGCACACCCACCCACGCTTTTTTTCTCCAGAACGAGATGAATTCAGCTTTGCGGACGATGAGGTCGGAGATGGAGGCTATCGACCGCGAGGGGCTGATGGCGCGGGTGGCCATGGAGAAGCGCCTCAAGACGGGCATCAAGCGGCTGCTGGAGCGCATCGACCACCTGGAGCGGCGGTTCTCCAAGCTAGAGCGAGAGGACCGGAAGCGACTCGCCCTGGAAGCGGCTTCTGTCGCAGCAGCGCCGACGCCGCCGCCGCCGGCCTTGGGGGGTGCCGCCGATGTTGTTGTGCGTCTGCAGTCCCCCTCCTCGGCAAGCGAAACCTCGGCTGCCTTGAACAAGAGCAATCGCGCGCCGGATACACCGGAGGCTCGGCCGCTCGTGACGTGGTCGGGCGGCGACGGGGATTTCAGCAGCGCGGCCGGGTCTACCGCCGCCTCTTCGTGCGACGGAGAGTACTCCGAGGCAGGGGATGACACCGAGGCGGACATCGTCCGGATGCTGGAGGAGAAGATGGCGGCGCTGGAGGGAAAGCTCCTGGGCCACGAGGAACGGCAGCGCACCGACCCGAGGGCCGCGGAAGGGCTGGGGATGAGTCCCGCGATGTGGGCTTGATCCGGTATCTATCAAGGGGCCGTATTTCTTCGGGGGGCGGGGGGGGGGTGGGGGGATCAACAGCTGGCTCTCGATGCGGGGAAGGGTTAAGGGAAGGGTAAGGCCTGCCTCCGGTTGCTTAGGGGTCCGTGGTGGGGGGTGGCGGGGTGGGGGGTGGTTTTCGGCTGGCGGGCGGGGCACACGAGGGGGCCTCGCGTTGGAGCTACTGTAACCGTCTCCCCGGGACCTACCGCGTTTGTTTATATGTCTCGGGTGTCTAAACTCCGCGTTTGCCTACTACACATGTTTGTGGGCGAGGGAGGTCCGGAGCTTGTGCCTTGTTGCCACCGAGGGTTGGCTGGCTGGCAGCAAGCTAGAGTAGAGATCACGCGGTACCGGCCGTGTTTTTCCCGCCAACGAGTTGTTCTATGTGGCGGCCTGGCATTTTTTATTCGCCCGCTTCACACAGTCAGCCTGGTGCAGGTCTGACCCGGGCGCGTTTTTTGGAGGGGAAATGGGGGTGTGTGCCTTCCCGGCCGGCAAAGGTAATAATATTGCGAAACCCCTTGGCGGGGCCACGAGGTTGCATAGTGATACTGCGGAACCCCTGACAACAAGGCGTTGCGCCTCAACGATTGGATGCGAAGACAGCGAGTGTTATTAGTTAGGGTTTCGAGTCTGCGTGGCGTTGTTTTTCCGTTGGCGTTCTTGCTGCTGCTCTATGACATGGTTCTACTGCCGTGTGTGACGTAAGTTATCACACCCCCTCTGGATCGACTATCAAAGCTCGAATTCTCCAGGATGAAGAAGAGAATGTAAACAGCTATCGATAGATACGTTTTTGGAAGGCTCTCTTCTACGAGACGGCCGCCATTTCCGCCACCGCCTCTCGTTCTGCTGTGAAGCAGTTAATCGAGCTTTGGAAATTGGGTCCACGGGGCGGCGTGATATCTTACGTCACATCTACGGTATCTCCGTTTTTAGTCAGATCAGATCTCCCGCCAGCCTTCTGGTGGTCTCGTCGATCGGCACCCGGGGCTTTGGCGTACCGGTACGCCGGGGACATGACATCGCTCGCGCCTCTGCGTTGTTTGCGCTCGAAGCCGGGGTAGAAGGTGGCAGATTTCTGCAGATGGCGGCGGCGGCCAAGCCGGCGGCTCTCAGACGGCAAGTGGGTAGTCATGTTCTAAGTCGAGTCTGCGGCAGAGAGTAGGAGTGACGCCATGTTGCAGCCAAGGGAGCCAGCTTCTTTTGGGTCGTTGTGCCATTCTACATAGTATGCATGCGAATTTTTCTCCCATTTTTTTTTTTTTGCAAACCTTTAGGGGATTTCGGCTTTTGGCTGGTGGTCCGGAGGTGTTTCGCCGCCATGCTTGAGTGCGTGTGAAGCGCAAGAATCATGCTTCCGGCGGCGGCCGAGAAAAAAAAATGTGTCGTTGTCGTCGTTGGTGGTGTCGTCTAGCGTGTGACTTCGGGAGATCCACACACATGTACGTCCCCGTCGTTGATTCTGGCGGCAACGGGGGAGGGAAGATGATGCCCATGTCTAGCCTGTGTGTGTTTGTTTGTTTTTTTCTTTGCTGTCGTAGGTGCGTGTATTGAGTGTCTTTCTTGTGCGCGCGACATGGTATGGTGACCGACAGGCATCCGTTCCTTGTTGTCGAAGCTTGTCGTGTAGGTGTTGCATGCTCGCGGGGTGGGGTAGGTTCCAATGGGATGGTTTTGGTGTGTGAGTGGAACGCGGGAGAGGGGGGTGTGGGAGCACGCGGTTAGATGCCGTAAGGAATGTTGCCCGGATTTTCGTGTAGCGCACGATTGGAAAAACGACGATGTTTTATTTTACCCCGGGTTGCTTTTAAGGCGTCCAGCGCTTTCTCATGTAGACTACTCCTCAGTCGCGATGCACATGTTTT